TTTTGGTGCCTGTCCTGGATGTCGCTCTGTAGACCAGGCTGTCCTGGAACTCACAGAGATCCACCTGGCTCTGCCTCCCAGTGCTGGTATTAAAGGTGTGTGCCACCACTGCCCAGCTTCTTTCTCTCTTTTTTTTTTTTAAGTCACAATTGGGTGCTGGGTTCATAAGCATGAGCCACCAAACTTGTTTCTTGGACTTTTAATCTGGGATGTCAAGGGACAGATGAGGAGAGGATAGCCTTTGCCTCCAGTTTTCTGATGAGTAGGAAAACCTGAAGCTGGCAGGAGTCTAGAGAAGCTGGAAGCCGGCATTCACCACGAGGACAGAGTCTGTGGCCGGGAGAGGCAGAGGGTCTCAGAGGACACGAATCTTACAAAATACCTCAGGCAGAAGAGCGCCTGAGTCGACCCTGCCTGCTGCCCATGCAGCCTGGATAGCAGGCATAGGGCTAGCCGAGGAGGCCTGCTTTGGAGCTAAGGAGAGAGCGACTTTTGAGAGGCATATTGAGGGTCCTGTGGAAACCCTAGAAAGAGCAGAGCCTCAAAGAGGGGAACTTACAATAGCTGGTGTGGCAGTGCACACCTGTATTCCCAGCACTTGGGAGGCGGAGGCAGAAGGATTGTGAGTTTAAAGGCAGCCTGGGCTAAAAGAAAGAAAAAAAAAAAAAAGAAGGAAAAAACCAAAACCCTTCTTTTTTATATCCTAAGGCATGAGAAACAGGAAGGGGAAAGTACAGATTTAGCAGAGAGTTAGGGATCAAGTTCCAGAGAGAATCCTGTAGAGAGTCACAGGGTAAATTACCTCAGCAGTCTGTCTGAGAGACCATGTCATGTTGGGAAAGTTCTGGGTACTTGAGTGTTGTCCCCCGATGAGACTGAAAAACCAGCCTCAGACTGTCTCCCAGAAAAAGAAACTTGGATCTGTGAGCAATAACTCCGGCCGGCAATGTCACTTCCCTGGCCATGCTGAGCCCCACAGGAAGTCTCAGAAATTCTTACCAAAAGGAGGTTCCATAAGAATGTCGCTGCACCCCCAGCTCTGTGGTTTGATGAACTAGAGAATTCCCTGGGGAAGGGTTCTGAGGGGAGCTGTGAGAGACGGGGTGGCTGCAGGAAGGATGCGGGCAGCACGTCCTCTTCCAGGACTGCTGCTGCGAGGTGTGGATGGGGGCGGGGGGCTGGGCTTCCAGGTCACCACTATCCAAGTGTCTTACAGATTCCAGAGTCTGAAAGCTGGGAACTTGAGAAGGTTTGCTTTATAGCTATAATAGTTGACCCTGCCAAAGTCTAGGGGCCTGCTGTGTTTGTGAGAGCAAGGCTCTGATGTCCCTGTTGGCATAAGTGAAGATTTAGTTTAAATCTTTATATCCAGGGGCAAAAGATTAGGGGCCAAAGCCCAAACAGGAAAGCCATTGTGAAGGACGGTCACTGTGTGCCTTCGCTCCCTCTGGTACATGGTCCCCATTTATTGACCTTGAGAGGGAAACAAGAACAGTGTGTGTGCCAGTGCTCCCAAGACATCCTCCCAGTGAATGCCCCACATGCAGCCAGCAGGCGCTGCTGCTGGGCACCAGCCATGCCTCTAGACTCTAGGACCTAGGCATGGACAGAACCAAGTCTTGTCCACTGGACATTTCCTTCTCAGATAAGGTGATACTGGAGGAGCTGGTGTGGGAAGTGATTAGGTCATGGGGATGGAGCCCTTTCAATGGGATTAGTGCCTTTATAAGAGGCTAAGGAGCTCACTTGCACACTGTTAGGAGGGAGGTACTGTCGTGGGCCAGACAATGCCAACCAGATCCTCAGTCTGCCTTGGTCTTGGCTGCAGCCGGCAGAACATTTGTGTTTAAAGGCCACACAGGCTATGCTCTTCAGACTTAGCAGCCCACAGACAAAATAGCTTTGCCTTTTCCTCTAAGATAGAAAGCTATTGGAGAGAAAGCTTTGAGTGTAAATTCTTTTTTTCCACAATGCAGAGGTCAGGAGCAGAAGAAAGACACTTCAAAGGAGGCACTTCATGATACTTCTGAGTTCCAGATACTTCTGAGACAGGGCTAGCAAGGTGTGACCAACTCCAGGATGGTGCACAGTGTCAGAGCCAATTCAAGAAAGGAGCTGACTTTCTGATCCTTTTAGGAATAAACTACAGAGAGTCGAGCGAGAAACGGCTCGCTGTCTTGCCTCCTCCATTTCCTTTATCCTCTCTTCACCCTTTCATTTCTTTATCATCGCTTATGCTTTCCGTTGTGGTTTTGGTCGGTCTTCTCCCAGGTGTTTTTGAGAGAAGTAGAGACATTTACCAGTTGATGTGGTCAGAGGTGCAGCCACACAGGGTCCTTTAGGTCCAGAGGGGTCTGCGGTGTGGACTGTGTCTGGGACACACATCTTCTCAGGTACTGTGCTGATTTCTTAGCGACATAAGAAGTCACCACAAATTCATAGATTGGAGGCCGAGTCCAGAATGAAGCACGGTAGGCCCGTGCTTCCTTTGAATGCTTGCTCTGCCCTTCCAGCTTGTAGACAGAGCACTCAGGTCTCTCCTTAGAGCACATGTGACGTCCTCCCCCTGTGTGTCTTCACATCACCTTCTTTCAAGGACATTAGCTGGATTTAGAATCCATAATGGGATCAAATCTGGAGACCTCTGTTCCCAATTAAAAGCGTGTTCAGGAGTAGTAGGAATTAGAACTTCAGGACACCTTTTGTGAGAGAGTTCACCAGCAGGTACTGTGGTCTGGGTTGGATGTCATTTGGGCTTAGTTGTACTTGAGGCTGAGGTAGGAATTATTGGGTTAGTGATTGTTGGGTTTTTTTGTTTGGTGTTTTTGTTTGTTTGTTTGTTTGTTTTGTTTTTAGAATTGTCCATTAAATTTAAACTGAAGATTTAAAGGGCTGGGTTTGATGGTGCACACCTGTAATATCAGTACTTGCAAGACTGAGGCAGGAGGATTACTCCAAATTCGGAGCAAGCACAGGCCACATACTGAGTACCAGGATGGCCCAGGTTATATAGGCAATCCTGCCTCTAGAAACAAAAACCAGGGTGGTGGTGGTGGTGCATGCCTTTAATTCTACCTCTTGGGAGGCAGAGGCAGGTGGATCTCTGTGAGTTCAAGACCAGCCTGGTCTACAGAGCGAGTTCCAGGACATCCAGGGCTACACAGAGAAACCCTGTCTCAAAAAAGGAGTTTAAAAAAAGAAACAACAAAAATAAAAACCAACCAGACATTGAGATTTAAAGAGAGATAAGCTTATTTACATTATCTTCAAAAAAGATGATTGAAGAAAAAAATGTCATGGGAAAAAAAGCATTCATGCTGAGGATTATAACCTGCATTTGTTCAGAAGCCTGGACAGGATGTAGGGGCCCTTATGATGTTCTGAGTTTATGGCTTTGCCATCTGTGACCTTGTTAGAGCAAAGGCAACAGACCCAGGTCCCTAAGCGTTAGCTGTGGCAGCGAGAGTCCTGCTTTCTCCACCAGCCCTGTCTGCACCTCCCAGGAGGCTGGGTCCAAGGTGCCCAGGTGGTATGTGGCACCGTGACTAGCTCTCCTATGTGGGCACATTCTTCAGTGATGAGGCAGCAGTTATCAGTGTGTGCCTCTTAAACTCACAAACTCTAAGGGTTGTTTATCAAAGGAAGTTCAGTCCCCACGCTATCACGGTGATAGGCTGTATCAGGGTTAGCAGTGTACTTAAGCAAAATTCCTTAGCAACAGTACACATTTGGGGCTGCTGAATTGTCACAGTCCTGGTGGCTTTTATGGTACTCCTGGTGTTGTAAGGAAGTGGATGAGTCAGGGGACTGGGCTTTTCCTGCCCAAGAGGAGGTTTGACTGGAAGGTCAGGCTGGAGACACACTCACATAGGAGCTCACACAGGTTTGTGTCACTTCTGCAGAGTGAGCCTTGGAATCAGTCTTATCTGGCCAAATGGGAGTTTAAAGCAGAGACCTGCAGACTGTACATCAGAGGTTTGATGTAAATGGGCACCTTGTAGATATGCACTTTCCCTGTCTGTCCCTTCAGTTCCCAAGGGAGGGCCTGTCAAGCAGTTGTGATGTCCCTGGAAGCATGGTGATGTGTGGCCCACCTGTCCCCTGCCTGAGGCTTTCCCTGGGTCACGTAGGCACTTTGGGTGAAGTGGGGAGGGCAGAAAGGAGGTCACTGGCGGCACCCAACCCCAATGTGGCTCCCTCGGTCATATGCATCCTGAAGGGAATGGTTCTGAGTGTCCTTTGAAGACATGTATACCATTCCTCTAATGGGCACTGTCATGGCTGCTAAGTGGAAACATAGCCAGCCACGACTTGGTTCCCAGGGCAGGAGGCTGTGGTAAAACTACCATACTTTTGGAATGAGCACAGGGCAAATAATGTACACACATCATTTCCTTTGACTAATCTTTGTGGTCCTGGTCCTGATGTGTCTTCTGAAACTGTGTTTCTTTGTTGAAGTTGGGATGTTTCATTGAGGACCAGATGGGACAGAAGGGAGCTTCTCTAACTGCTTTACCAAACCGTGTGTCATTGCTCTGGATTGCGGCGGCGGCGGCAGATTCAGTAGAAAAGCAGATTGCACCCTGACTCATCTGCCTGCCCGAGCTGTGCCGTCGACTGCCCTGGGCTCGCGGGACGGTGTGTGCATGCTGTCTGCTCTACACACCAGGGGCTGTGGGTGCCTGGCTCAGGCCGTGGAAAACCCTCAGAGGAGACGACAGCCCATTGAGGGCCGGGAGCTTTGTCCTGGAATTTTCTGGCCTTTATCTGGTGTAATCTCATGTACTTCCTTTTGGGTAAGGGTGCTATGGCCTGCCCTCTACAGGGCACTGGTGCTTCCTGTACCAGGCTAGGTCCTCCTGCTGCCTGAGGGGAGTGCTGTGGGCAGGTGAGCTTACCTGCCTTGTATTTGGCAGCACACTGCTGGGGAAGGACACCAGAACCTGTGGCTGTAAGGGCTGCACCTGCTCACTTCGGTCCTAACCCTTCTCTCATTACAGCAGAAAAAGTCGTACCTGGAGCGGAGTGTTAAGGAAGCGGAGGACAACATCCGAGAGATGCTGATGGCGCGGAGGGCGCAGTAGGAGCTGCTGGCAGTCTCCCTCCGACCGGCCTCTCCCATCCTGTCAGGCGGGGGCTCTGCAGGCTCCTGTCTCCCTCGGCCCCACACTCTCTCCAACACCTCGAGCCCCCTTCGGGCCCCACCTGAACGTCTGCCACCCCTGCCCAGGACACTGTTCTCCGGGGGCAAGCCAGGAGCTCTCCACGGAGGGAAGACTGGAGGGCCGACGGAGAAGGCTGCCCAAGCCTGCCACGAGGCATGTGGGTTAGACCAATAAAGGCTACGTCTTGCTCTGTGACATCTGCTTTTCTGCAGCTGAGGAGGGAGTGAGAGAAGCAGGCGCCTTCCTCAGCTCTTGTTCCCCTTCTCTTCCCTTTCTGGCCCTTGGACGGGTAGTTCACGGGCCTCTACAGGGCATAGGAGGAAGGAGGAGGAGGAAGAACATGCTACAGTCGCCCTCAGGATCTCTTCCCTGTTTTCTCCCCAGATTCCCAAGCCACGTTTAATAGCAAGCAGCATCTCCGAGGCTGTCTCGCCTGGCCATGGTGGACCAGTGGTTCTGCCTCCTAGCATCCCCCAAGGGAACAGTGGGGAGATGGCTTGCACATTCTCGGGACAGCTCATTCGTTGTGTAGCTTTCAGGAATTTTATTGCAGGTTGGTTAAACACAACTGTTACTGAAAACTAGACGTAAACTTAAGTCAACATTCAGAACTCGTCCCTTCCTGCTGCCCCGCACTTGGCCACTGCAGGAACTCCAGTTGCTGAGTCCAGACAGGGTGTTACTGTTTGGTGGTGGTGGTGGTGGGCTTTGTGCCTCAATAAATTGGGAGTGTTGATCCGGTGTATAACGAGGTAAAATTGTGGGTTATTTCTGAGATATGACACTCACTGTTTGGCCACAGGTAACCCTCACTTCCTGATGCTGGACACACGCGTCCCCTCCCTCCCTGCACCCCGTCCTCCACTGCTGCTCTGCAGCCAAGGAAACTCTGACTTGTTTTTTGATAGCTTAGCGACACCCTGTGGTCAGTTGTGAGGTGAACAGGTTGGTTAACTTGTGTAGGAGGGGATGGGAGCAGGAAGACCCTGTGACTGTGGAGTCCTGGAGAGCAGCCCCGGGCAGTCGGTCACCCAGAGGTCCCTTTCCCAGGGCCTGGGTGAAAGCAAATGGGAGCTATGCTGGCAAATAGGCCTGCCCACGCCGTCCATCTTTGAGGAGATAGCTGGAACAGAAGAAAGTTCCTCTTCATGAACTGGACAGTGGTCACAGCTGACCTGCTCACCTCTTACAAGCTCTGGTGGATGGAATACGACAGAGTCCAGCCCCCGGTGGTTTAAATTATCTAGACTAATTCAGACAGCAGGGTTTGGACAGATTTATTGAAACATACAGGGTGTGAGCAGAGAGATCTAGTGGTGTATCACATATTGCCATTACCTTGAGTGTATAATTTAAACATTATAAATATATATTTCATAACTAAGCCTTTGGCCAAAAAAAGTAAAATTGTTTAGCACATTTGTTAAGGATCAGTAAGAAATGACTTTTGAACATTAAAAAGATCAAGTCACTGAATGAAGTAGCAGTACCCCTCACTAATCTAAGACTCTGGAGGACTGAAGGTAGAGGTGTCTGCGCAGAGCTAGCCGCTTGTTTCAGCAATCAGAAGAGGGAGCAGGCACACCGATCGGAGGCAGGCGCGCGGAGCGGCCAGGCAGGCGGAGAGCTGGGCTCCTCAGGTGAGCATGTCCCAGAGGCAGCAGCAACAGAGAGCAGTCCAGCAGGCTGTGAGGCAGGTAGATGGGCCCAGGTCGTCTCTTCTTTGGTCTTCTACCACATACACTGGAGAGAGAGGAGAGGAGAGTGAGAAGGGCCTGCTGTAAGCCCGAGGCCCTGCATTGCCCTCCAGGACCAGAGGAGAGGTGCCTTGCAGCTTGCTTCTCCTGCCCTTGCCAAGGATGGATAGAGGAAGGACGGCTTACCCGCTCCTTCCTCTCCCCGTCACCCGAGGACAGCGTTCTTCCTCTAGGAATGAATACAAGGGGTACTACAGAATGACCCTAAGCCAGGGCAGTGAAGTGGCAGACCCTAGGCGGCGGCGAAGGCACAAAGTGCTGGCCTGCTCGGCAGAGCTCGTAGGGAGGGGCACTCCTTCAGTTCAGCTAAGCCAAGCAGAATTCAAATCTGTGCCTTCAAGGAATAATTGGGAGTTACAAACACACACACACACACTTGAGTGCTACTCAGTAGCAAACTACACTGTAAAGTGGGCAGGGAGGGCAGCCAGGTCAAGTGGGGCAGACGGCTGGAGGCCTTCGGAATGGAGTTGAAACTGGGCCTACACTGTGTAGGCCTCGGTTTCTCTTCTCCTAGGCCCTATTCTGAATGGTGGGTGGCTGCTACTTTCACCTTAGAACAGCCATCAAATCCATAAGCAGTGAGGACTTCAGACTTGCAGAGCAGTGTGTGGATTTTATGAATCGGACCAGTTCTCCTGCAGCTGGCCTTCAGCGCTGGTTTTGTGTTTTCTGTCTATTTTTATACCTTGGCCACTCTGGAGCTGGTATAGGAGAGTGCCCTGGCTTGCCAGGGATCTGGCCCAGATTGAATGCCAGACCACTTGACCCCACAGTCTCCAGCTACCTATCATCCATTTGGTGGTTGCTCACAATGCCAAAACTTAGTCAAAAGCCCACCACACAGTGTCATCCAGCCCTCCACGTCTTTGAAGGACAGGCATGGGGCACCGGGCACAGGGCCTTCCCTCCTGTGAGAACCAGTGGACCTTGAGCTCGCTCAGCTACATCAACACAAATACCAAATCCTGCTTCCTTCACTGCTTCCTCTCCAGGGCCCAGTTCACAAATTCCTAGAAATCTGGGGACCTAGAAACTTCCAGCTCAGTCCTCCTAGACTGCTGACGGAGGTTAAAAGATGCCCAAGGCACCCATTTCCAGAGGACAGAGTCTTCCAAAGCCCTTCTGACTCCCCCGACACAGAGGCTAGGAGGATAGGGATGGGGACAAGGTGGGGTCTAGCCGCCTCTTTCTTGCTTTCAAGTTAACCAAAGCATCAGTGGCCCAGGAGCAAGTCTGAAGGAAGTCCTTCCAGAGCCTCGTTGCATGGCTGTGGGCCTAGAAATGGTAAATCTTCCAACAGTACCTTCTAGATGCCCACCTGCTCATGGGGGAAGGCCTTGTGTTTCCGGAGGGTGTCTCCTGTACTGAATAGCAAGGCCTGGCCTCTGCCTCAGGATCTCTGTCCACCCAGGGGCCTCACCGCTCTGTCTTCTGTGTTTCCACTGTCTGTCACCTCTGTGAGGGGATCTGCCTGAGAATTCTCACACCTTCCCATCATCAAATCAATCGTGTATTCCCTGCTCTGTAGGCCCGTACTGAAGCTGAGAGTACCAGTCAGTCATACAGCAGGTCCTGCAGCGGAGATGGCTCCAGCCCAGGTGTCCATTCCAAGTCAGACGCCTTCTCTAGCCAAGGCGGAGTGTGTGCTGCTGAGTACCTTTGTAAGCTGTGCCAGCTCTGTGGGATCCCCCACCCCCCCATACCTCCCTCAGCCTTTTTCTTTTAAAAGAAGGAAAGGGGGTTGGGAGTCAATAGCAATGGGTAGGTGTGGGTGCAGACTGCACCCGGCCTGGAAGGAGGCTCTGGCACTGCAGAGCTTGCTCAGTTGGAGATCAAGTGCCCCCTTGTGGCCAGACTTGAGACAAAGGCTGGGTTCTAGGTCCTGTGCTTACATTCACATCAGCCCAAGTACTAACTTCGTTCATTCACTGGGGACAGAGATCAGCCTGTTCAACCATGAGTAGGGGCCTCACTACTGGTCCCAGGCAAGGAAGGTCTGAAGGGGCTCTATTTCTAATGACCAGGCTGGGGTGATACCAGATGTAGGCTCCTTTATTGTTTTGCCTCTTGTGTTAAAGCCATCCCTCCCCGTTGAACCAGCTGTCAGTTTTCTCAGCCCCAGCCTGGTGTGGGGTCTACAGAGGGACGGGTACCTAGAACTTTGCAAATGCAAGAGTTGGTGGTGGGGTGGGCCTAAAGGCCCAGCGAAGGTCAGAATGGTGAGAACAGCCCCAGAGGCCTTGGGTGCAGAGCAAGTTTGGGAGGACTCTGACTGTTACGGGAAGGGCAGTTACCCATGTCTTGCCTTTGTGCTAGAAGGAAGGTAAACAGGCCATGCTAGGAGGCACAAAGCTTCTTCCTGTGACCACGTGTCTACTCACCTCTCCCTGGGGTCTTTCTCCAGGGCCACCTGACACACCACACTAGAAGTCCCTTGGTCCCAGGATAGTCTGCGACCTCACAGGTGTCATTTACGAGGGCAGGCAGTGGGCAAGTGGGACAGGGCAGGAGTGAGTCACAAGAATGTGAGCAGAGGCCTTCTCAGGTGATGTCAGCTGACATCTGAAACTTCACTGGCTCTGCTCTGACCTTCTAAATGATTAATCCGAGGCTCTGGTATGCTGCTGGAGTCTTCAGTGCTCACGGACGCATGCTTGTGAGTGCATCTGAGCAGTCTGGCCTGAGAGCGCCGAGGAGAGGCACACAGTCTGCCCTCACATGGGGTTCTGATGCCATAGGCCTTTTCAACAGGAAGTGAGACTGCACCTTGACAAGCTGGGGCAGGGGGTCCTCAATTGTAAGGACCACAGAGTCACAGTACCCCCTGAGAAGGGGAGTCTGAGTTGCCATCACACACACCCCTCCCCCCCCCCTCCCCCCCCCCCGTGAGGCATCTAGATAAACAGAAGGCAGCTAACTAGCCTAACCTGGAGGTTACAGAAGATGCCAGAATGCCTCTCTACTGCGTAGCCCAAGAGGCAAGTCAAAGGAGAAATCCTGAGCATCTTCATTATAAGTAGAACCTCGAGCAGCACAGCATGGCTTGCAGCCCTCATGCAGGGAGGGGAGGGGAGGACATGGAGCCTGAAGGGGCTCTCTCTGCCTCACCCTTCCGAGGGTGTCCATGCCAGTGACATCACTTGCTGCCAGTACAAAGGGGTCCCATTGCTGACAACAAAATGCTCACAGGTACCTGCTTAGCCCACCGGCGGCAAGTATGTGAGGGAGGTGAGCACATGCACGGTAACCGGAACTACAGGGGCAGACCCAGCCTCCCCACCCCCAGGACTCAGCTGGGCAGGCTAAGTCTGTGATGTTTACTCTGGACTCCCAGGCTGAGGGTGGAGAGGTTCGGAGACCCTTCCACAGGCAGTCTCTCCCGCAGGGTATGGTGCGGTCAGGACTTGGCACATCCTCAGCCAAGTCTGGGACCAC